AACTTACCGTATTTGCAATTTACCGTATTTACAGTCTACCGTATTTGTAAACAACTTACCGTATTTGCAGCCTACCGTATTTGCAAACAACTTACCGTATTTTTACATTACCGTATTTTCATCTTACCGTATACGCTGCCTACCGTATTTACAGCTTACCGTATTTGCAAACAACTTACCATATTTTCACCTTACCATATATGTTGCCTACGGTATTTGCAACTTATCGTATATGCTGCCTACCGTATTTGTAGTGTATTTTTATATGACGATTTTTGCACTTACAAATACCGAGAGTGCAGAACATCGTATATTCACTTACCAAACCGAATTTCAAAAAAAAAATTCAGATTTTTATTTTTTTAATATAAGCATAAAATAAATATTTTTCAATAGAAGGTCCGATCTTTGAGGTCGACGCGGAGGAAATGAAGCGAAAAATGGGATAAATCAACAGAACGACATAAGTGTCGTTCTGTCAATAAACACGAGTTTGAACAGCCACGAGGTTTTCGGGCTCCCTATATTCGAGAAGTTGAATTCATTTGAGTCCCGAGATGGACATGTCGCTCACATAATTTGGGAGATACCTTCATAACTTTGATTTTCTAACGAATGTGGATGGTGACTTGTGATTTCACTGAAATCCATACCAATTCTCCCGTTATCCGTCACGTAATCAATAATTCTGACTTTCTTAAGTTAGGAGGTCCAATTTTTGAGGTTGACGCGTAGAAAATGAAGCAAAAAAGGGAGAAATCAACAGAACGACAAAAGTGTTGTTAAACGACACTTGTGTCGTTCTGTTAATAAACACGAGTTTGAGCAGCCACGAGCATTTCAGGCCCTTGTATTCGACAAGTTGAACTCATTTGAGTCGCTAGGTAGACATGTCGATCACATAATTTGAGAGATACCCTCATTACTTTGGTTTTCTAACGAATGTGGATGGTAACTTGTGATTTCACCGAAATCCATGCCAATTTCTCATTATCCGATACGTAATCAATAATTCTGACTTTCTTAAGTTAGAAGGTCCGATCTTTGAGGTCGACGCAGAGGAAATGAAGTGAAAAATGAGATAAATCAATAGAACGACACAAGTGTCGTTTAACAACACTTGTGTCGTTCTGTCAATAAACACGAGTTTGAGCTCTCACGAGCCTTCCGGGCCCCTGTATTCGAGAAGTTGAACTCATTTGAGTCGCTAGGTAGACATGTCGATCACATAATTTGAGAGATACCCTCATTACTTTGGTTTTCTAACGAATGTGGATGGTAACTTGTGATTTCACCGAAATCCATGCCAATTCTTCCGTTATCCGTCACGTAATTAATAATTCTGACTTTCTTAAGTTAGGAGGTCCAATCTTTGAAATCGACGAGGAGGAAATGAAGCGAAAAATGGGAGAAATCAACAGAACGACACAAGTGCTGTTAAACGGCACTTGTGTCGTTCTGTTAATAAATACGAGTTTGAGCAGTCACGAGCTTTTCGGGCCCCTGTATTTGCGAACTTGAACTTATTTGAGTCGCGAGATTGACATGTTGCTCACATAATTTGGGAGATACCCTCATTACTTTGGTTTTCTAACAAATGTGGATGGTTACTTGTGATTTCACCGAAATCTATGCCAATTCTCTCATTATCCGTCACATAATCAATAATTCTGACTTTCTTAAGTTAGGAGGTCCGATCTTTGAGGTCGATGTGCGGATGAAATGAAGGGAAAAATGAGATAAATCGACAGAACGACACAAGTGCCGTTAAACGGCACTTGTGTCGTTCTGTCAATAAACATGAGTTTGAGTAGCCACGAGCCTTCCGGACCCCTATATTCGAGAAGTTGAACTCATACGAGTGGCGAGATGTACATGTTGCTCACATAATTTGGGAGATACCCTCATTACTTTAGTTTTCTAATGAATGTGGATGGTGACTTGTGATTTCACCAACGCGATATCTACAATCTATGCCAATTCTTCTGTTATTTGTTACGTAATTAATAATTTTGACTTTCTTAAGTTAGGAGGCCCGATCCTTAAGGTCGACGAGGTGAAAATAAAGCGAAATATAGGAGAAACCAACAGAACAACATAGATACCATTAAACGTCACTTGTGTCGTTCTGTCGATAAACAAGAGTATGAGTAGTCACACGCCTTCCAGACCTCGATATTCCATAATTTGAACTCATGTAATTTGCGAAATGGACATGCCGCTCACATAATTTGGAAGATACTCTCATTGCTTGAACAACATGAAAAATGAGAACAACACTAGTGATGTTACTGTTATGAAACCAGCACAAGTGTCGTTACTTATGTAAACACGATACGAATAATTGATAACTCGTATATTTAAAAATAAATTGTTACTAGATCAATGATATTTAATATCTAAACATCATTTCTATATTTTTTAGGTAAAATACTCGAAATGGTACCGTGATATTTTGTTATAACAAAAAATAAATATCTATCATTATGATTTCATCGATTCAAGTATATATTAAAATAATAAGAAAATAGTTACAATATTTAAATTATCAAAGTAACCACAATATATTATCAATAAGAGACAGATCATAACAGATAATGGTTGTACTGTCACTTTACATGGAGGATAACGACTGTAGTGTCGTTCTACACTACAGATAACGACTGGATTGTCGTTTCCAATCGTTATCGTCCAATAGTTGCGGACGATACAAATATACACTAAATGAGAAAATAGAATCAATTAAAATATCATTTTATACTATATTAAACAATAAAGGTACCAATATAAATGAGATTTCTAAAAATACCTTTCTTTTTTCTTTAAATATAGTGGAAATCTCAATGTAGATAATATAGATAATAAAATTCTTGTTCAAATGCTCACAATGTTGGAGAAGATAGAAGAAAAATACAATGAATATCAAGATTTTAGGGAAGAAATCAAATATAGTGGAAATCTCAATGTAGATAATATAGATAATAAAATTCTTGTTCAAATGCTCACAATGTTGGAGAAGATAGAAGAAAAATACAATGAATATCAAGATTTTAGGGAAGAAATCACAGGGAAAACAGGTTAATGCATTTTGTAGATGAATTGAGGAATTTAATTGGATTGAAAGGGGTATTTGGGTATTTTCCATAATGAGGGTATTTTAGATATTTGACATTATTTGTTTATTGTATTTTATAAATGAAGGCCATTTGACCAAGAAACATTGAAGGAAGGTTATTTTATCAAAATCATTGTTTGACTAGGCTACTCAAACTCGTGTTTATTGACAGAACGACACAAGAGCCGTTAAACGGCACTTGTGTCGTTCTGTCAATAAATACGAGTTTGAGTAGCCACAAGCCTTCCGAACCCCTATATTCGAGAAGTTGAACTCATACGAGTGGCGAGATGTACATGTTGCTCACATAATTTGGGAGATACCCTCATTACTTTAGTTTTCTAATGAATGTGGATGGTGACTTGTGATTTCACCAACGCGATATCTACAATCTATGCCAATTCTTCTGTTATTTGTTACGTAATTAATAATTTTGACTTTCTTAAGTTAGGAGGCCCGATCCTTTAAGGTCGATGCGGTGAAAATAAAGCGAAATATAGGAGAAACCAACAGAACAACATAGATGCCATTAAATGTCACTTGTGTCGTTCTGTCGATAAACACGAGTATGAGCAGTCACACGCCTTCCGGACCTCGATATTCCATAATTTGAACTCATGTAATTTGCGAAATGGACATGCCGCTCACATAATTTGAAAGATACTCTCATTGCTTGGACAACATGAAAAATGAGAATAACACTAGTGATGTTACTGTTATGAAAACAGCACAAGTGTTGTTACTTATGTAAACACGATACGAATAATTGATAACTTGTATATTTAAAAATAAATTGTTATTAGATCAATGATATTTAATATCTAAACATCATTTCTATATTTTTTAGGTAAAATACTCGAAATGGTACCGTGATATTTTGTTATAACAAAAAATAAATATCTATCATTATGATTTCATCGATTCAAGTATATATTAAAATAATAAGAAAATAGTTACAATATTTAAATTATCAAAGTAACCACAATATATTATCAATAAGAAACAGATCATAACAGATAATGGTTGTACTGTCACTTTACATGGAGGATAACGACTGTAGTGTCGTTCTACACTACAGATAACGACTGGATTGTCGTTTCCAATCGTTATCGTCCAATAGTTGCGGACGATACAAATATACACTAAATGAGAAAATAGAATCAATTAAAATATCATTTTATACTATATTAAACAATAAAGGTACCAATATAAATGAGATTTCTAAAAATACCTTTCTTTTTTCTTTAAATATAGTGGAAATCTCAATGTAGATAATATAGATAATAAAATTCTTGTTCAAATGCTCACAATGTTGGAGAAGATAGAAGAAAAATACAATGAATATCAAGATTTTAGGGAAGAAATCACAGGGAAAACAGGTTAATGCATTTTGTAGATGAATTGAGGAATTTAATTGGATTGAAAGGGGTATTTGGGTATTTTCCATAATGAGGGTATTTTAGATATTTGACATTATTTGTTTATTGTATTTTATAAATGAAGGCCATTTGACCAAGAAACATTGAAGGAAGGTTATTTTATCAAAATCATTGTTTAACTAGGCTTTTTTATCAAATCCCCCTTTTTTTTGTGTTTTGGGGTAAATGAAAGTGAAAAAGTGGTAAGGGTTTCATTTGTTTTGGGCCAGTATCAACCATCAAGTAAACAATCGGGTACATATAACGAGATTGAATATAGTAAAGATCTTCCACGTACTATTGACATGAAACAATGTCCCTGTTTGGCCCCCATTTTGTGGAAAATGAAAATGAGTGAAATAATAATTTTTTGAAAATTAGTAGTTGAAAAAAAGGAAAAGTTTTCTGTTTACGAGTAATATTATTTTATGGAAGATTGTGTGGTTAAAAATATGAGAGATAAAAATAAAATGCAATGGAATGAAAAATAATAGAGGTCAAACGGGAGCAATAATTAGTGATGAATAAGAATATGATCCTTCAGAGGATTAATTAGTTCAACAATAACTCTTGTCATGCACTTATGTGCTAAGCACCGAGATATCATACAAATTGTCATGATCCAATTGATGTTGAGGTATACTCAACTGAAAATTTAAAAATCTTTCTAAATTAGGTGTTTCGAATTGAAATTTTAATTTAAACTCTCAATTAAGAACATGGGATTCCAGAATATTTGAATGGATTTCAAATTTGAAAATACTCTTAATAAATTTGATTAAATCTATTTAAATTCAAGATAATTCATTAGTTTTATAAGATTTACAATATTTTAAAATCCAATAAAATTTCAGCCAAATGGGTTGTGCATAAGGATCATGCTACATGTACTGATGTACAAATTTTTTTTTTACAAAATCATTACTTACAATGGATGTGAGGACTACAAATCGATATTTTTTAAATTCACGCGAAATCTACTAATTACGTGAGAGTTAGTAAAGCCATTTTGTTTACAACTATCATCACCCTGTACAATGTAACCTGAGCACTTTCAACATTTTCCTTCCCATGTATTTCTTATATATAGACATACATCTTATACGGACCAAGCAATCTAGGGTTTTGTCAAAAATCATAAGAAATCCCATTTTTTCCCATGGCAAAGAAGAGGAAATCCGATGCAACGCGCCTAGATGAGGTGGATCGTACCTTGTACACCACTTTCAGCAGCGCGGCCAACTCCCTATCCCACCTCTATTCTCAGGCAATGCATCACCAGAAACTCTCCTTCCAGGCTGGCGAACGCCACTCGCTGGTTTGTTCCTCTTCTTTGCTTTATGGATTTATCTGTAATTGAGTTTTAGGGCAATGTCGCTGTAATGTTTAAAAATCAACTTGATTTAATTAAAGTTGATTTGCGTTTTTATTTTTTCTTAATTATTTGTCTCTGGCTTTATTTGAACCTGAATTTATTAACACAGTAAAAATCAAATTAATTGTTGGTATGTTATTTTTAGTTCCAGTAGTACACTCAACACCCTATTTTTAGCTGTTTCGTATTTGAAGTCAAAATTGGATAAATTTTAAAAAATCTTCGATACGGTCGGGATGAGGGTGACATTTTTTCCTACCAAGAATGTCGGGTTGTATTCATTGAAACTGAAATTAGTCGATCACGATAACAAGCGATGAACAAATATCATACTTACATAATATTTGCTCAAGATTTCGTCGGAGGCGATGGCTTCAGCGATGGATGATCTTGCTATACATGGTCAGCTTCTCTCTTGCAGCTATGAATTTTTATTTACCAACCATTCGATTCACTTAAGGTGCGAAACCCAAATATGGAGATGATCACTAGGTTAAGCACGGGCTTCTTAACAAGGCCAGGAAGAGTGCAGCTTCAGCTCTCCTCAAACGATTGTTTTGCCTCTGAGGGTTTTTTTTTTTTGTGTTTTGGGGTAAATGAAAGTGAAAAAGTGGTAAGGGTTTCTTTGTTTTGGGCCACTATCAACCATCAAGTAAACAATCGGGTACATATAACGAGATTGAATATAGTAAAGATCTTCCACGTACTATTGACATGAAACAATGCCCCTGTTTGGCCCCCATTTTGTGGAAAATGAAAATGGGTGAAATAATAATTTTTTGAAAATTAGTAGTTGAAAAAAAGAAAAAGTTTTCTGTTTACGAGTAATATTATTTTATGGAAGATTGTGTGGTTAAAAATAGAAGAGATAAAAATAAAATGTAATGGAATGAAAAATAATAGAGGTCAAACGAGAGCAATAATTAGTGATGAATAAGAATATGATCGTTCAGAGGATTAATTAGTTCAGCAATAACTCTTGTCATGCACTTATGTGCTAAGCACCGAGATATCATACAAATTGTCATGATCCAATTGATGTTGAGGTATACTCAACTGAAAATTTAAAAATCTTTCTAAATTTAGGTGTTTCGAATTGAAATTTTAATTTAAACTCTCAATTAAGAACATGGGATTCCAGAATATTTGAATGGATTTCAAATTTGAAAATACTCAATAAATTCGATTAAATCTATTTAAATTCAAGATAATTCATTAGTTTTATAAGATTTACAATATTTTAAAATCCAATAAAATTTCAGCCAAATGGGTTGTGCATAAGGATCATGCTACATGTACTGATGTACAAAATTTTTTTTTACAAATTCATTACTTACAATGGATGTGAGGACTACAAATCGATATTTTTTAAATTCACGTGAAATCTACTAATTACGTGAGAGTTAGTAAAGCCATTTTGTTTACAACTATCATCACCCTGTACAATGTAACCTGAGCACTTGCAACATTTTCCTTCCCATGTATTTCTTATATATAGACATACATCTTATACGGACCAAGCAATCTAGGGTTTTGTCAAAAATCATAAGAAATCCCATTTTTTCCCATGGCAAAGAAGAGGAAATCCGATGCAACGCGCCTAGATGAGGTGGATCGTACCTTGTACACCACTTTCAGCAGCGCGGCCAACTCCCTATCCCACCTCTATTCTCAGGCAATGCATCACCAGAAACTCTCCTTCCAGGCTGGCGAACGCCACTCGCTGGTTTGTTCCTCTTCTTTGCTTTATGGATTTATCTGTAATTGAGTTTTAGGGCAATGTCGCTGTAATGTTTAAAAATCAACTTGATTTAATTAAAGTTGATTTGCGTTTTTATTTTTTCTTAATTATTTGTCTCTGGCTTTATTTGAACCTGAATTTATTAACACAGTAAAAATCAAATTAATTGTTGGTATGTTATTTTTAGTTCCAGTAGTACACTCAACACCCTATTTTTAGCTGTTTCGTATTTGATTTTGCAGTTTTATTTGGTGGCAGGATTAAGAACAATAATTTTGGCTTTTGTTCTGTTTCGTTTCGTTTCTTTTTTTTTTTTTTCCTTTTGTCATTGTTCTAAAAAGTGCTTAAGGTTTGCCTCACACGACTCCTTTAATAAGCTGCATTGAAGTTATGCTTTAAGTACCATATATAGGCTTATACCTTGACTTGGTGAGAGAAGGCCGCAGGCTTGTGGTGGCCGAGGTATGTGCTTGTTTTTGCTTTTGGTCAAATTTCTATGGACTAGATTTTTTGTTTTATTGGGCTATTGAAAACACAATCCAAATGATAAAAATAGAAAAAGGAATTGGAGAATAGATGAGAGAACAAGTAAAGCACGCTTAACCTATCTTCCTATACCTAAAGTGCAATAAATCCTTCTCCAAAGTGAGGTAACTGCATCTTAATGCAATGGAAAACCTAAGGCATGTAGCTTGACTTTTTTCTTTTTATATATTTCTCATGCTGTCTATATGTTTATTTTCCTTTCCTTTTAATATCAATGCAAAAAAGATTTGTGAATAACTAGGCCATTATACCATTAGTTTTTGGTTCCCATTGTGCATTATGGTCTAGTTACATGACAGCAGAATTCTTAATTTATTTTTTGCTACTTGGTCAATTTTAAGTTGAGTTGCAAATTAGACTTCAATTTTGTGTGAGTTTTATTATGTAAATGTTTAGATGGGTTATGGTTTATTATGAGGGTAATATTGTGTCTTTTTATAAAGGTTTATGATTTATGTTGAAGCTTATGAACTAAAGTGTGTCAAGGCTTACACCTCACTTCATGTTGGCAAAACGCCTCAATACCAGTTAGCCTTTTAAGACATTGTTTTTTCATTAGGTATGGGCTGACTAATAATAACTGATCAAGGCCTTCTCTTATTGTGTTTGTGTAGGAAAAGCTGTATAATTGGATTGTAAGACAACATGAAGATGGGGCAAGAGCGGGAACCAATGATATACTTGCATATATTCAGGTCTCTTTTCCTGCAAATTATATTTTCTTCTTTACTGTAAATTACTTGAAAAAACCCCACATGCATAATTGTCTGCAGACTGATTCATGTTATCATGTATGTTGGATTTTATGCGCAATAATAAAGAGATGAAAAAGAAAAATAAACACAAGAATTTTACGAGGTTCGGCGGTGTGCCTCGTCTACGAGAGCGAAGTGGAAATAATTTTATTCAGCAGTCAAAAATAGGGTTACAACATGTTATTTATACTAACCCGAGCTTACGCTCATATAAGACGTTAAGGCCCATACAAGAAATACCCTTGTAACGCCCCCGCACGCCAACCCATTCAACGCCTCTAACAACCAGACAATAAATTAAACTAGCGCAAGGTCGATGCCGTCGCTCCACTCCGTTTTGATTGATACGCTCCTCTCCGCTCCGGCATCGGCCTATTTGATCCAGGACCTGTGTTCTACTCTATATAAGCTACATGCATAACAATGTAATATATATTTGGCCCATCATTTTTATGTATTCTTGTACAAGCTTTCTTAAGGTACTATTGATTTTGGGATGATTTTGTCGTCAAAGGAAGTTTCTCTTTTCCTTGTGTTTTTGTGTCCATTCTACTATACAAGGATTTGGCCCATATCATTTGGATCAAGTTGCAGTGTATTTATATGTTGAGTTCTGATATAGTTACTGAGTAACACGAATGTGATTAAATTATGGGAGTGCTGATTGAGATTACCCAAGTTTTCCAATACCACCGTAACTGAAAGTTGTTTCTGGACTAGCAATTTTTCCTATTTCAATGGGCACAAGTCATGTAATTTTAAAACATATCTCAAAATGTATTGAAGGTATTTGGGCTAGTCTTATAACTGAAATGGAGCTCAAGCAAAAAAAAAATATATATATATTAAATATATGTCTTGTTTTTGCCTGCAAGGACCTGTGACGGTGCAATCAGTATTTTAGCATCTGTAACCCATAGTATAAGTATCTGTTCTACTAAGTTGAATAGCCCCGATAATAGGAGTTCCATTTTTTATCATTGCCATATATTAGAGAGTAGGTCTCTTGATGAAAAGTTGTATAAAATATTGAGTAAGCTGTCATATTTTAGTAGGGTGGTTTTCCTTACTTCTCCGTCAATTTTTTCACTGGTTTTCCTCAAAACCAGTGATGAAAATCACGAATAAAGTTTTTCAATCCCTAATTCCTTCATTGATACTTATTTGCCAAAAAAAGGGTCAAATATATATAAGCAATGGATTTACTGATGGAATTTAGCATGGGTTGTAAGTAGATAACCGATGACTAATTCTGTTACTGGGTTTTTATTATTGTTGTATAAGTTTAAAAGTTAATTTAAATAAGTTACAGGATTTAGACAGAGGTGTTTTCAGTTGCTAGTTTTGTTACCCACTTATTGACTTCTTTATTATTAGAAAACTGAAAATATTAATTTGATTTACAGATTAGCGATGGATTTTAGGAAGGGAATTTAGCGATCCCTCACAGTACATGACTTATATATTGTATTTATGCTGGAGATGCATGGGCTGTATTCTTTTGTTCATAGAGCTCTGTATCTCTCTCCCTCTGGGTCTTGAATTGAATGTATGTCCCTTTGTGAGAGATATTTACCTCAGTTTAAAATGTTCTTTTCCTTTGTCTTCATCCATCTGCAATGATATCTTAAGTTCTTTACAACTTTCTTTCTTTCCTTCTCATTTTTTGTTGGGAGTCGTAGAAGATGGACGTAAGCTTCTTGTTATTCTGCACCTCACTTAATTGCAAAGATCCTGTTTATCATTCTTCTTGTCGTCTTTTATTTTCTAGGTTATCTGCTGATAAGTCTGGCTCTTTAGAGTGTGGAGCTTTGTTTAACATCCTAGGGTGGGAATGATTTGCTTAATTCAGCTGGGATCTGGGTCTAAATATTAAATGTTGGGTCTTAAGCTTTGTGGGGCACCAAATACAATTTCACCCAACCAGTCCAATTCATGGCCGCCGATTAAAGTGATAAGGCTACGTGATTCGTTCCTGGATTCATCTCAATTCAGCCAAATCAATCTCAATCCTTAAATTACAAATTCCAAAAGTGATTGGCTGGCCTTACCAAACACGTTTCTGTCTACAGGTTCCAATGATATCCACGGACCCCATGCCTGCTTTTTTGGTAAAGTTACAATCTAGGCTCAAAAGATAGCACTTGAGCTCATTGATGCACGCACAACATGTAGATCTTAAAAAAAGGTTTCTCAGACTCTAGATTTCAAATAAGTGAAATGTTAATTTGGAAGAATTTATGTTCAGGATAACTTGTGTAGATGTTACCTATTGAAATACTGGAGCTCTTGAATATATAGATATCAATTACTAGGCATATAGTTTATAAACAACATAGGGTCCACATGGGTGTCATTTTAGTCACATTGTCAGAATCAGCCTATGTTTGAGCCCCATTTTGTGTAAATAATGAGTTTTATAATAGTGATTTTTGGAAGAATGTCTAGTTAAAAAATAAAGAAAAAGTTTTGGGTTTACATGCAAATTATTTTATTAGGAAAATGTATGATTGGAAATTAGTTTTAAAAAAAGCGAGTTTTTAGAAAATGGGGCTCAATGTCGACTTATGATGCCGTACGATTTACCATTCCTGAATCGAGAAACTGCCAAATAGCTAGATAGATATTCAGGGTAATGTCTGTTTAAACCTTTGAAAATTTGGAGAAACCCTGAAAATTGAAAAGATTGAAATTTTTGGTTCACCTAAGAAAAAATATGCTATTCTCCTGTTCTATTGTTTCTTTCTGCTTTCAAAAAACTGTAAATTCTAAGCTTTAAACTGAACTTCAAAAACAGAAAAAATTGAACTGTGCCAATGGTCTTGATGGTAAGGTGTTATTTATGTTTTGTGGGGAGGGATTGAAGAGCCTAACAATTAAAGCAGCTCAAGCATGACAACCAGGTATATTTATTTAAGGAAATCCAATTTGTATGCATGATGGGAAGGATGGTGACAGGTTCGTTCTATATATTTCACGGAAGCTGATTGATCTTTTTTCTTTCTTTTCCAATCTGCTTGGCCTGTTCTGTTTCCGTAATATTTTCTCCTCCTCCAAATGAGGACACCTAAATGATCCCTTACATGGTTAATGCAATTATATTGAATTTTCTTTCTTTTTCTATACATTTTGGTTTGCGGCAGTATGTATATCGCTGAAGATACACAGAAGTAGAACCATACTTACTTTCCTCGGAGTTTCCTTAGTCCAGGGATGATGCTTACAATGGCCCGGACAAGATATTATATTTGATTTGTATTCGTATGTTTGTGTTTGAAGCACATCGTTCAACCCTTGTTCTTTTCCTTGATATATTTGCAGAACGAACTTGATCAATGGACTGATGAACCCCCACCATCCCCGAGGTTGCCATTCCAGCAGCAGCAACAATCTCAACCTGCAACCCCGATGATGCCTTCAGGATTTCCAGTGTCATCTAATTTATATGGTCCTGCTAATACGCGAAATGTGAACTTTGATAACCAACCTAGAAACGCTGTTTTCTCGAATGCTCTCTCCAGTCCAATCCGTCGAAATCTCCAGCACTATCACTTGGCACAGGGAGGTCACTCCATAAATCATGTTATGCGAAACAACGAGAATAACGTTTCCCAAAGCAGGGATCCTAATCTGCCTAGTTCGAATGACACTTCAATGGACATGCACGCTGATAGCCCTGATCACGATTCTCATTGCTGAAATTGAACATGTGTTCGAAACCTGGAAATCTCCATGTGCACACAGGATAATGCATGGAAAGTTGATGAAAGAGTGAAGATCTTAGTCATACGGGTGAACACAATCTAAAAAAGAAGTTCGTTCCTGCATCGTCTGATGGAAATCAGTCAAGCCTATTACATGTTCCTGGTCATGTCGTATTTATCGGTCACTTTTCCTTTCGATTTCTGCTGCTCATTGTATATTATCTTTGAAAACAAAGGTTAGTTCATAAAATATCATTGCGATTTGGCTGGGGGTGTTTTCTCTTTGATGTTGCTCTTATATAATTTTTAGATGATTTTGTTGTATATTGGTTTGAGCAGTACTTTTGACAGAAAAAAATTATGAATGTACTGTACTACACAATGATTGTGCACATCTTTCTTGAACTTGTAAGCATTATTTAATTAACCGATTGAGGTATAATTGATCTAAACTATTGCTCACATTTTTACTGGACTTATATTCGAGGAGTTGTAATTTTACATCTCAATGTCACTACTACAAATATATTGTTATTGTTTTGAAATAAAAAGTAGATGTGTATCGGAAAGCTACGTGACGAGGTATGCAATACTAGATTGGCGTATGTGTAATGTAGCACTTGTTATACGTCTATATTAGGATGTCAAGTTCATGTTTGTAGTACTAGATTAGACCTGATAAGGAATTTAGTATAAAATTATATTAAATACGACATGGTAGATAGTGTCATGGTGGATTAATGAATCATCTTAATATCAAAATGGAGTTGGGATTGAGCAGAAACTCTAAATGTACGACTATTAGACTATTATTATTGGGTATTGATTGTTGGGAAAACTCAAAAGTCGGGGATCAAACATCAAAAACTAAATTGAAGATATGAAGGAAGAAGATTGAAACTCAAACCAAGCGACAAAGAAAAATTCAAAAAAATGGGTTGTGTGTGTATATACTTTTCTAAAGCAATATTTACGCCATCTAAATTTGAGATTGTTTTAGAATTCTTTTCGGCAAATAACGTTAGTGGATTTGACAAGCCAAGAGTGAAAATTCACTAAAGGAATTTGAACCAGGAAGAAGGAAATGTTTTACTTAAAGTTGAGTATCCCAATCACGGTATAGTTCAATGACAACTTGTCAACACAACCATTCAAAAGGAAGGGTGGTCAATTCACGAAGGGATGCCAAAGTTCAAACAAGATAACTTAAAATATGTTATTGCCATTTTCAAATTGCAAAATAAGCCATGAATTCTTATTTATTGCATTTCAAGACTAAACTATATCTCCAGTTTATAAGTTAATCCCTCCCAAATTTATTTCTTGTAGCCACAAACTTTTTCAAGTCTATGTTTAAGTCCAAAACTTCTCCCAGGTCTATAATAAGCTAACATTCATTCTCAATTTTTATTTGAACAAATTTCCAACGTCGATATTTTGTTTCAACTCGCTAGACTTGCTAATTTTTGTGCCTCTTTGCAATTCCTCTTTTATTTGAAGTGTGTATACTAGTTCTCAACTACTTTTAAGAAGTTGTAAATAATAAAAGTTTAAATGCTCGATATTCGAATCTTGAAAACGGAGCTTGGTAACTTTAGAAGGTTGGCAAAGGTTTACACGACCCTTTTTGTGATTTTTTTTATTATTTTTTTAAATTTGTGAAAGGGTGGTTAGATTGCTACAATTAGTATTTTTGTAGCACAATTTGTACTTAGGGTCATCGATCTTTGCACATTCTAACATTAATGCCTCTAACTTTTTATTTAGCACATTTCATCCTTGGTGATGATTTCTATTAAAATTAGGGTTGAACGTTGTCAGGTTTGATTCGGTTCTAAAGAGAATCAAACTGAAATCGAACTTTTGGATATTAAGTAAATGAAACCGTTGAGTACAAATTTAATTATAGAACCATTCTGTTCTTGGATTCCATATAATAATTTAACTAATGATATGTTCAATCTTAATCGTTACAAAATAATGTAGTCCAAACTTATGTATCTTTTGCACTTCTCTTTATTGAGTTTTTTTATAAATTTAATTGTTAAAATTACAGGAAGAGTTAGTAGCGAGCTTACAATAATAAAGAGAGGCGTTACCAAACTTTCAATTCGATTTCTCCAACACTAAAGAAATGGCACTACGACAAAAAGTAAATTTGGATAAAACTTGTGTCAATTTGACTAAGTTGGGCTCGTGCTGAAAATTAGAATTAGAAAAATCATATTTTGGGTTTGGGCTAAATTAGTTAGTTAGCAAATTTATTTAAAAAATAAAATAATTTGGCTTATTTAAAGATAAATAAATGAAAAAAATTAGGGAGATTCAATTCTTAATTTAGAACCGAAGATCGAACCGAACCCGTCGATTCTCGATTCAGATTCCAATTCTAGTACTTAACTTAGGAAGAATCGCTCGGTTTGGATCCGATTCGATTCGGAGTTTTATCCAGTCCTAACTAAAATATTATGTTTTTATGCCTTCAAATTTTAAAAAAATAATTTTTTCTGTACTTTTGTAGTTATCGTTTTTAAAAATATGGAGAAACTAGTTTTTCGTCCTTCCAACGAACTTCTTGGATGGAAATTGTAAGTCAGTACTCGGTACAAAATATGTTAATGAATGAAATGTTGAGGATAAAAGAGTCAACAAAAAATTAAATACGTAAATATTACAATGAACAAAGATTGAGTAAATTAAATACCCTGTAATTTGTACGAGTTGTAATGCAAATATAATATCCTTTTACCAAATGGAATGGAAGTAAATATTTTATTTATAAGGTAAAGTAATTTGCTTTTGGCTAAAATTTATAATATTTGATATATAGAAACTATAATATTTACCAAATGGCAGTCACACGGTTTTTATTCATTTTTGAATATTCAGCCTCGTAAACATTATAATATTTAATACATAGAATGTAAAGTAACATTGCCATCATTTAAAGTAAATCGAAATCTTCAATTCGGCTCAGTTTCTTATTTATCGATAAAACCAAAGATTCTTGGTTCGATAAGAACCAAACGGAACCACATTGAACCCTAGTGCATAGGTGGTGTTAAGGGTAAAGATTTTTGTGTTGTGAAAAATTAGAGTAAAATTGATAGTTGATATATTTCAAGTGATAATAATTTTAAAAACTGTGACTTATTTTCGTTTTTTATAAGAGAATCGTCGGGCACGAGGCCCGAGTCATTATATAAGTAGTTCGACAGGTTAATTGAACAAAAAGCCTCAAATTGAAATACTAATAATAAGTTCAGTCACAAAGTCTTGACAGAATTAAATTTAATCACCAATCGAAATTGATCAATTTCTTTCTACATAATTTACTTTTTTTTTTCTTTATTACATGGAAATTTGATATATTGGTTATAACAAAAAATTATATTAAATATACTTTTATTATAATCCGACAAGTTACCTTAAAACCAATTTGAAATTGCTCTCCACGCAGCTTATCATATACATTTAGAGGCTGAAAATTTGAAATTCTTTTTTTTTTTCCCCATCATTTAAATATCAAATATTTCCAGCAAGAATTCTTAAAATTAAAGCCAAGAAAAGGGACGAATATAGATACATCAACTATTACAATCTAATATTATATAATCGTAATACATGACCATACTAACAATATTGCAAGGACAATGAAATCCAGAAATGAACACTTTCAATGATACTTGATCTTATATAGACACATGCGCACTCGATAAAACATCAAAAGAGGAGAAAATGTACTTTTTATACTTCACAAGCCATCATATTTGTCTGTAAATTTGTTCTTAATCCACTTGAAACCATTTCTCAACGATGACTTCAGCTTACCTTCCATGGTATACATGTTATAACTTGCCACTCTTTTCCTCCTCTTCACCTCGGGATTGTCTTCCGGGCCATTGAAGCTGAATGATTTAGCACGATCTTCAAAGCCAAATCGAGCTTCTGCATAAGAAGATGAATAGTAAGGGAATGATTTACTTTTCTCCATTATCGAAGAGCTTGAGGAGGAACAAGAATCCCCTTCTTCTAATCTTTATGCACAAAGGAGAGACCAAATTAATATGGATGGACCCCATGCAAAGAAATTTGTACCTTAGGCGGCCTTGCATGGACCACGAGATGACTTGATCTAACAATTGTAGCACGTGTCAAAAGTGTGTTGTCGACTGCATTTTATATCTAAAAGTTTAAGTTGAAAAGCTATGCATATGTCTGCAAAATAAGTGTTGCAGTTAGATGCAAATTCAACTTAACATTGATGATTTTGTTTACAAGTAATGAGAAAAGAAAAGCATTATCAACAGTAAATGTCGTACACTTGTGATTAATTGCAAAAATGATGGAAGGCATAGAGGTCGAGTCGAAGGTAACTACTAAACACTAAGTTTCCAAAATTTGAATAGCGTCAAATAATACTATCGTATACACTTATCTAATACACGTAACGTGTTGATCAGAAATATACATTTATAAAAATATAGAGGAAGTAGTTGAAGACATTAGACCATTAATTAATGTGAATGGTGGTGGGCCCAACAAAGTGGGTTATAGCCCGATGAGGGCCAATTTAGAGCAGACAAGAATAGTGGAGAGCAAGAGAAGAGCCACTTTAAAGAAAGCAAATGGGGTATATTCATACTTTAATATGTGGGCCTTCTTTGTCATATCCCTTCCTCCTCAAACCAAATCAATTTATACAAAATTTACCTAGATCATTAAGTGCATGATTGGTACAGCTTTTTCTTCCCAAAAAAAATTAATTTTTTGACCGTTATTTCATTATTTGAATCTTCATTTTTTATTTTTCTTCTCACAGGTAAGACTCACTTTTCTCTCTAACTCGAAAAATCAACTCTCAAAATCATTACCGAACAAGCCTTAAGTCACGTCCGACCTTATTTTAAAAATTTATTTTTCTTGAAACTCGTTTTAATTCATATATTCTTCCAAACAACAATTTTACACATTTATCACAAAGTCTTGACAGAATTAAATTTAATCACCAATCGAAATTGATCAATTTCTTTCTACATAATTTACTTTTTTTTTTCTTTATTACATGGAAATTTGATATATTGGTTATAACAAAAAATTATATTAAATATACTTTTATTATAATCCGACAAGTTACCTTAAAACCAATTTGAAATTGCTCTCCACGCAGCTTATCATATACATTTAGAGGCTGAAAATTTGAAATTCTTTTTTTTTTTCCCCATCATTTAAATATCAAATATTTCCAGCAAGAATTCTTAAAATTAAAGCCAAGAAAAGGGACGAATATAGATACATCAACTATTACAATCTAATATTATATAATCGTAATACATGACCATACTAACAATATTGCAAGGACAATGAAATCCAGAAATGAACACTTTCAATGATACTTGATCTTATATAGACACATGCGCACTCGATAAAACATCAAAAGAGGAGAAAATGT